ATAATTCTACAAGAGCTTTTCCCTTTGAATATTTTATATATATATATATATATATATATATATATATATATATATATATATCATACTATATTATATATCGAAATATATTTTATATTATATAATAATCTATTATATAGTGATATTATTATATCTCTGGTATATTTGTTCAAAGCCTTCCACAGCTATGTAATTGTTGTTGGAATAAATAAAACTTCAGAATAACCAGAGGATCTTCAGAGGGTATATACTCATATAAAAGAATATGTACAACCTTTGAAAATAAAATATGATAATTTGGAGTAATACCCAAGACATAACATTAAATGAAAAGAGCAAGTTTCAGAGCATTAAATTTTACCCAGGTATGAGATTTTTTTTAAAAAGTGTTCATAAGCAGGAAGAATATAAATAATTATATTTGAATAGGTAAGTATGTATATAGGTAGGTCAGTAGATTGGTAGATATGGAAATATTAATGCTAATGAGAAAGTAATACAGAAAGTTTTATAAATATTCATTGAAGATTTCCCAAATTTGACTACTTTGTTAAAAACAAAATTTTAAAAATTAAAAAATTGGAAATAGGTTTTTGGTTATAAATCATCAAATTAAAACTAAGTACATGAGAAGAAAGCATTCTCTTGAATATCTTAAATTTAAATAATGAAAATTAATAAACATTGCATTATTGAAATACAAGAATTAAGCCAATTACCATCTGTTTGATCCTAAATTTTCATCTGTATTTTGGGCCTATTTTCCTGGTGCAGTACTTGCATATATACCCAACTGACCTTTAAGTTATGTGTGTATGTGATTTCCCAAATTTGTTATGAGCAACCATAAATTTCTTGTTTCTAAGCAATATTTCTTCTGCTAAATTTCCTTCTTACTAAAGATTGTCACTGTCCCTAACTGCATGGTCTTAAATGAAGAACTTACAAATGTGCCTCTCTTCCACAAAATTAATCCATTAGTAAAAACTGTAGATCCTATTTTTAAAATGAATCCTGAGATGACTTTTCATCATGTACACAAAGTTCCATGCTTCTTACCATAATCATTTCTTTCTGAACTATTGCACTATTTCTTGCATTGTAACATTTTATTGATTTTACTATTACTCACCCAGCCTCCAATCCACTGTAACAAAATCACATTTTTAAAGCAGAAATGGGATCAACTAATTTGTGTTTGTGTACCCAAATTTCTTGTAAGTACATTTTTGAGACTCATCCAAAATGTTCAGAAATGATTTGAATATTCTTCAGGTAGTGTAGGTTTTAGATGTGTAAGTATTAGCAACTGATAGATAACAAAGAACATCTACTTTAATTATTCTGTGTTTTCAGTTGTAGTATCTAATTAGTCTAGTACCTCCATATGACAATTTTCAAAAATATTCTCCTTAAATTTACTGATTAAATTTAGCTTTCCATGTAAAATGTAGAATCAACTTGTTAAATTCTCACCTGTTATTTTTGTCTCACTGATATGTTAATGGAGATAAATGTAGGAGGAATTTAGTCAATTATCTGCTTTCTGCTTCTATCATAGAATGCCACAGACTGGACAAATTATTAACAATATAAGTTTATTTGGCTGATAGTTCTGGAGGCTGGGAAGTATAAGATTGAAACTCACATCTGGTGAGGGTCTTATTGCATGATAACATGGTCAAAGGGCAAATGAGACAGGGTAAGAGGAGGCTAACACAACAGACCTACATTGGAAGGGATGTTAAAGGAAATAAATCTCCCTCCCTCCCTCCCTCTTTTCTTTTCTTTCTTTCCTTCTTTCTTTCTTTCTTTCTTTCTTTCTTTCTTTCTTTCTTTCTTTCTTTCTTTCTTTCTTTCTTTCTTTCTTTCTTTCTTTCAATTGAACTCAGAGGCACTTAACCACTGAGCCACATCCCCAGCCCTGTTTTGTATTTTATTTAGAGACGGGGTCTCACTGAGTTGCTTAGCATCTCCTTTTTGGTGGCTTTGAACTCACTATTCTCCTGCTTCAGCCTCCTGAGCCACTGATATTACAGGTGTGAGCCAGGGGTGCCTGTTCTATCTTTACTTTTGGCAACTCCCTCATAAGGACATTTGAGAAAGGAAGCAAAAAGGATGCTTGTCCAGGAATATATACATTCACTCCTCTTCTGTGAAATGAAAGTACAATTGAAAATTCTGCAAATGAGAAAAATAGATCACTCAGAAACTTATTTACCAAATAAATTGTAAAGAAATTAGAATCAAGTTTCTCTTTTCAAGGCCAGGGCTTTGAATACATCAAAGCAACTACTACTGTACTACAATCATTAGCAGTTTCAGTGATCTTTGGAAACTTGCATTAAATGGCTAAGTTTTTTCAAACTACAAGAAGAAAGACTTGAAATAATTGACCTTTAACATTTTGGTTAGCTCCAAACACCATCATATAGATTTATTCTAAGTGTAATGACTTAGGTTCATTAGGTTAATTTCCATTACTAATAACAAGCAAAGTGATTTGACATTGTTCATCTCCACTCATTGACATGTCTATATGATTATCTTAAGTGCTCTCTGAATATTTGATAAAGGATGCTTAAAATTCACAATGTTACTTTGGACTTAAGATTATCACAATGGTTTAGGGTTTTTCTTTTTATCTTACTACTTTCTTTTTCAATTTATATATGCATATTTTTTTAAAAAGATGCACATTAGCATATTCTAAAATGTGTAATTATATTAGAATCTATATCATTATCTATATAATTTCATCTTATAATCTATATCATTTAAGGTATTACCAAGACAGAGGATGCAAAAAATGTGTTCAATGTATAATGGTTGAATACATAAATGTAGTACTGAAAAGTTGTGTGTGTGTGTGTGTGTGTGAGAGAGAGAGAGAGAGAGAGAGAGAGAGAGAGAGAGAGAGAGAAATAAAGAAAAAGATCCAATCCTTGCCTATCTCAAGAAAAAGATTAGTACTTTGTTCATAGTGTTGTAGGGACAAATGAGGCACTGAAGATAGCAGGAAACAGTTTTATTTGGCTGCAGTCAGGTTCAGAGGGCACAGCTTTTGCTGTAATCAATTAATCCCCTGAACCCCGAGTTCAGGTAGTTTCAGAGTTTTATACCCAGAATGTAAGGGGAGGGGCTCAGAAGTTCACAGTCTGCAAAAGTTAACATAAAAGTAGATTTTTCTTTCACTGTTCTGGGTATGTTAACCCTTCAAGGACAACACCTGAGAAGGGGAGAGCTTCTTCTCCCTTTTCTATTCTCCCCCTGCCAGCTGTTACCACAGAGCCCAGTTGGTAACTTCTCTTATCTTAAAAGTGTAGACATCTCTGTGAAGCCCAGCTCAAGGTCAGAGGCCTTGTTTGCACATTTCTTCAAAGTACTATACTAGATATGTTTGTGAAAAACTAGTAAGGGGGTGTCCAGCACCTGGAGTGCTGGTATCTTCTCAGCTAGTGGCCACGTAAACAGGGTGACATGAACATAGGAAATTTATCTACATTGAACTCTTTTGCTGACAGTCCTAAAATCAGTCTGGGTGAAGGTTTCTGGAGAGGCCCAGTTAAGACTTTTCAGTGGATGCCGCAGTCTGGCTGGCTGGGCAAAATAACCAGGGGGGCGGGGGGTGACGAACAACTTGTGTACGTTGATACAGCAGGAGTAGGAGCCATTTATTGTAGGACCAGAGCAATATTTATACATTCCACACAGCTTATCTTAATTAGCATAAACTAGATACATCAGTCAACCAATAAGGAATCTCCACACTTAATGGCTCGCTGGCATTACTTCACAAACCGCTCCCTCTGGCATTTTGCCAGGCGCCATCCAGACTTGTTTACAGACTCTAACAAGTGGAGAAAGCAGGGGCGGGGGTGCCACTTCAATAATTTTACCATAATATTCAATTAGAGAAAATTACATTAAAAACACTAACAAAATATTTTGGAGAAATTAAAATCACTGCAAAATTAATTTGTATGCATGCTATTATAGTAAAGCCAATTTAAGCATACCTTAAAATCCGTATTTAATAAAATATAATAATGAATCCATGAATTGTCTTCAAGGGTAGAGATATTTTAAAATCCAAAATAATACCGCCTTTAAAAATAATCATATGGAGAATCACACTAAGTGAAATAAGCCAGATTAAAAAAAATCCAGGGTTGAATTTGTGTTTCATTTATAGATGGAAGAGCAAAATATGAAGAAAAAAAGTGGGAGATAATTGGATATCACAAGAATATAGGGAAAAAAGAGATTTAGGGAAGAAATATGGAGTAGGAAAAGATAATCAAGAGTGTAGGAAGAGGGACAGGAAAGGGGAAGGACTAGAGAATTAATTTATCAAAATCGTACTCTGTGCATGTATAAATATACCACAGAGAATTTAACCTTTTATATATGTAAAAAGCACACAAACTAAATGAAAGAGTGAGAGGAAAACAATAGAGCATAGGAAGGAGAAAAGGGTGAGGGAGGAAGAAAAAAGGGATGGAACAGGGACTTAAATGTAGTCAAATCTAACATACATATGACTTTGTCAAAATGGACCCAACTACTATGTGTAAGTATAATGGTCTAATAAAAAATATAAAGAATACCTGACATTGACCTTTTGCTATATTTTAGATGAATAATTACATTGAGTGACAGATTGAGTTTGAATGATCTATTTTAGACACACACATATATACTGTCACTTAGCATCAATAGAGTTCATATTATACTAGCTCAAATACAAATAAAGTGGCAGAACATGCATTTAAGTCTAGACCTATTTAGCACCAAAGTTCTTTCCACTTTTAATTTTTCACAGTAAACAAAATTATACTTTGCCAAGAATGGACACTTTCTATCAGAATATTATGAAAGCTCATCCCAAATCCACTTTTATTAAATAATTATTTCTATCAATTTAAAATAAATATGCAACTTATTAAACATATTAAAATGGAGTTCATGACTAACTGAGATTTCAACTTTTTATGTTTCAGATGTAGCTGTTCTTTGGGTTACCTTGGCAGATTCTCTATTATCAATGTTGAAAATTGCACAGGAAATCATAGTACATCTTTGCAAGCCCTCTGCGTGGCCTACCTGCACAACTGTAACTGTAGCTATCTACAAAGATATGAAAGAAATATCTGTGAAAGGCAAACTGAGAATTGTAAATCTGCACACTGCAAAAATGGAGCAACAAATATTCACTTGACTTGGTATTTCTTCTGCAAGTATATTCCTGGATATATAGGCAAGTATTTCCTGAGAAAAAAGTCTTTAGTGGATAATTTTGTTAATATGTTTATTGGAAGTATCTAAACTGCATCTAATGATTGATAATATTGTAGTCTGATTTCTCATTTGGCAATGTAAAAATGCTTTCACTCGAATAAGAGAGTTGTTCTTTGGGCAATTTCATTACTGACTACATATCCTTACTCATGCAAATTTGGCAAAGAAGGGCAGCTTAAAACATTGAGATTATAATGGCATATGCCAAAAGTCCAAAGAGCAAAACTGGCAGCCACAATCTTCTAATAACTTTGCCTGAACACGTTCAGAACTGCATTTCATCTTACATTTTGCCAGCATCAGCACAGTGAGTGCCAATTTTTTTCTTACTTTAAGAATAAAAATGTTATTTCAGAATTGGCAAGGTCATTTTTATGACCTGAAATTAATTAGATAAAAATAAAATAAAATCACATACATATTACATCATTTGTACAACAAAGGACAAGATTCACAGTGGCTATGTGGTACTAAGGTAGCTTTTAGTATAATAAAATCAGACTCTCATTTATATAACTAGAGATTTTATTCTTAAAGTGAAATGATTCTTTTCCAGCAATTGTTACATTGAAATGATAGTTTAAAATAACTTAAAAACTTTTTATTATTTTGTTTATAAAAATCATACAGAGGCTAAGCAGGAAGAAAATAATGTCACTTTTAAGCCATATCTATCTTTCAGTAAATTAATAATATAATAATAAAATATTATTTCACTTTATTAAACAAACCAAATTCTAAAAGTTATTTGGATTCCATCAAAAACTGGAAAATGTATTTTCCTATTTGATATTTAAAGTAATATGCTGCAGGTTTTGGAGTCGTTGGAGACAATCTTAAAATATTACATTCCAAAAATGAAAATAGTGATACCACTGGAATAAATGTATGGCTATTCAGATTAACTTCTCTGAAGCTGGAAACACATTTGAGTTCACAAATTCAGGTAATTTTTCTAAAAATTGATCCCATTGCTCCATACACCAAAAAAACTGTAAGTAAAAATAAAATGGCATAAATGTACTCACATTATTAAAGATAGTTGCCTACATTTGAAAACATAATATATTTGTGTATTTGTGTGTGTATATGTGTGTGTGTGTATATATATATATATATATATATATATATATATATATATATATATGTTTTTAAAACCTTAACTATCTTTCCTAAATTATAAACATCTAAAGTTAATCTACAAATGCATATGAAATATAAGAAAGAACTAGTAGAACTATTCCTTATTATTACTAAGAGATATCATCTGATATTCTATGTATGATCTCTTAGCATGTACATATATGTTTGTATTTGTACACACATAATCAATGAATGATTTATCATTTACTCTCTTAAGAGTACATTGTATGATCATTAATATTTATTTGTCATATTCTATTCATATAGTTCTACTATACACACATACATATGCACACACGCAATACCACACTGTATAGTGTATGATTGGCATGACCCACATTTCTGACTTGTTATTAAATATATGATATTTTTCTTTATTATTTAAATAAAATCCAGTATAAGCCTCATGAGGTCATATTAACAGCAAGATCTATCTTTTCTCACTGAGTTGTAAAAAATCCTGTGTTTTCCCTTAAATTCAAAATATTTAGTCTGACTTCTAAAGTGTTCACACAGAGATGTGAAGGATCTGATCTCTCTAAATTTTCCCAGGGAGAGGGGAAAAGCAGAATATTTTGGGGGCAGTTTGGTGCCCCTCATCCTCTCTTCCTAGTCTCTCCCTTCTGATGCCTCCTAATCCATCAATTGTCTCTCTCTTCATACAATTATTTTCCTCCACCTATGTCTTCCACCTGGCTTCATCTCCATTGTATTCTCCCTGCCTTTACTCTTTTCCTTGATTGTTTCCTGCTCTGCCTTTCACTTCCTCCAATCTGTCTCTCTCCCTCTGTATAGGAACTCATTTATTTCCTACATGAATTTGTTAACATTTTAAAAAGAGTTTTAAAGAAAGAATTAGTACAACTTGTTAGTTGTCATATCTACAAATCTTAAATACATGGATAATATAGTTTTATCAATGTTAAAAATATCATGATAAGTTGTAAAAAAATGTATATTTCTAAGGGTTAGTGGGTCCTGATTTTTAATTCAAAAGATGTAGAAACTACTTGTAAAAATTCAGTCAAGAATCTGTCTTGATAGATGTTCAATAATTTTTCCTGTGGGATCAGAGAATGTAATATTTGAGCTGAACTTTGAAGGGCAAATGGAATGAAACTGTATCTTAAAATTCCCTGCAAAATGCAAAGTATTCATAAACAAGAAACTAGTGCTAAGTTTTAGTAAAACCTAAGGAATTTTTGCATCTTTTCAAACTATTGAGATGTCTTATTTTATTTTAAAACTTCAGAAAAATGAGCACTCTTCATATCCTATTGATCCTGTAAGCCCCATCCTTCTACCACGTTCTTCAGCACTGATGTTCAGCTTCACCTCTAGCCCCAAGGAATAGAGCCATCCTTCTCTGGACTATGACCTCTGAAATCATGAGCCCTGAATAAACCTCCTTTAGAGTTGTTCTGGTTGGGTGCTTTAATCACACCATCGGAAAAAGCTAACTAAAACAGTTGGTTTTACGTAGCTGTTTGTTGGAATGTGACCTGTTATTGGATGAAGGAACATAATTAGTGTTAATGAACATCCTTGTCTTACTCATGGATTCAGTGGAATTTAGATCATATTATGATTACACATGATATTTGCTTGGCATTAAGAAGGTAATAAATGATATCTTAACCTTTACAATTTAAAATATTTCAAATAAGAATAGAAAATAATTATATTGACCCATGGAATACAAATAAAATTGACTTTTATAATTTTTCAAGCCTTTTCATATATCTACACAAGTGATATTCGTCTTTCATGTGTGTTTTTTAGAAGCCTTGTTTTTAGTTTTACCAACTCATCCAGGCTTTATACAAAGATATGAAGAGTGCTCATTTTTCTGAAGTTTTAAAATAAAATGAATAAATTGTAGATATGACAACTAACAAGTTGTACTAATTCTTTCTTTAAAAACATGAGAAATTTTGGACTCCAGATATTTAACTTATTTGGTCTCATGCTGCTTACTATATTATTAAAATGTAGTTGTGGGATTTGATAGTGTTATGTTGGTGTATTTGTATGATTTTTGAGATTTGGGTTTGATCATCTTATTAACTTCAGTGGAAAATTGCAAGAATATAAAAGTATAGAAAAACTTGAGCAGTTACAAGAACCTATGTTCTACTAATGTTATCATCTTATGTAAATACACTGGATTTCCCTGAGGAAGTTAAAATCCTTTCAGTATTTCCTAATAGTAATGTGAGATATTTATACAAAGGAGAAATGGGATGCTAACCCATATATTGGTAAAACTGAAAAATAATGTGAGGCATTTTCTAGCCTTGTCTAACTGAAACAGGACCCAAGACCAGGTCACCTGTAGCTGTTTGGGTGCAGAGTGGATGATATGCAAATTTTTGCAATTATTTGCTTTGAAATATTTTACAGTATATAAATGCTCTTAGATTAAATATATCAATATTGATATTCCATGTGTAAGATGAATATGTTTGGTCATTTCCCTTAGGAAGTTAATTAGGACTACTTCTGATGAAAAACTGTGTATTCTCCATGTTACAAGATGGTTATTTTATAACACTGTAGTATAAATGCTTGACCTTTAGAAATCTAGTTCTTGTGGAGAAAATCCCATATGTGAGTACAATTAGAATCACTGTTGAATATTTTTTATTGCCAGATCACAATTAAATTCCTGCACATAACCTTTTACTTCCTGAAATAAAACATATAGTAAAATATTTGATAATTATGCAGGCAATCCTTTGTATAAATTTTGCATCTTAATGAGTTTAAGAAACTACCATTTACAATTAAATCAGAATCTGAAAGACCAATGTGTTGTGCTATAGCTAAATATTTGCCATCCAATCATAATAACACACCCTACATTCAAGGAAGTCACAATTTCTGTTTAATTTTGTTTTCTTAGATGAAGTTTAATTATTTAAACTCACAAAAGGCACATAACAATTTCCTAGTGTGAAAAAAACAGTTCTTTCCCCATAGCCTTTTCTTTAATATTGCCTTTCACACATGTTTCTGTCAACCCTCTTTCCTGTTTGGTTTGTTTAGGCTTCAATAGACCCAAGTCCAGGCATAAGAGTGAGAGTTAAGTATGATTCCTATCATCACTCCTTGATTTCAGCAGTCCCTCAAATACAAACTTAATAGAGCAGTATACTGTTAATAGAAATAAATCTATTAATTGGTAAATAAAATGAAATTTATATAGTAGTAAAGTAATGACCTTAAATGTTTAATGTTTGATATGTTCAATATTTACCTCCTCAGAATATAATCAGTTTACATGAGCTTCAACACATGAAAATTTATATATAAGGGAATCTTATAATTAGTATCTGGAATGAATTTTTCAAGTTGCAACATAAATTATGAAAAATATTTGGTATTTCACTTGTCTAAGATTTTTTGCTAAATATTTTGTACCTTTATATCTTTTAGAAAATATAGGAATCAGTGAATGATAGGTCAAAGGTATTATAGGACTAGTAACATCAAAGAGACAGACATACTTCCAGACAGACAGACAAATAAAAATGTATATGTAGGAGGTATGTGCCTATATATGTGATCACTAATGGCATACATTGTTAAATAGCTATTAAGACACTTACAATTATGTATAGTTCGTTCATTAATTTAAATAAATTATTGGTCTCTCACTATAAAATATTATTTTATTTATTTTCATTCTTTATTTATTATTTTTAGTTATACATGACAGTATAATGTACTTTGACATGTTATACATGCATGTAAGACAACTTCCTATTCTTCTGGTATATGACGTGGAATTACATTGGTCATATATGAACATAGGAACACAGGAACGTACTGGCTGATTCATTCTACTCTCTTTCCTATTCCCATTTTCCCTTCCTTCCATTCATTCTCCTTTGTCTAATCCAAAGAATTTCTATTCTTACCACCCCCACCACTTATTATGAGTTAACATTCACATTTCAAAAAGAACATTCATCCTTTTTTTTTTTTTTTTGAGGATTGGCTTATTTCTCTTAGCATGATATTCTTCAACTCCATCCATTTACTGAAAAATACCATAATTTATTTTCTCTTCATAGTTGAGTAATATTCTACTGTGTATATGTACCATATTTTCTTTATATATTCATCTGTTGAAGGGTACCTAGTCTGATTCCATAGGTAAGCTATTGTGAATTGAACTGTATAAACATTGATGTGACATCATCACTATAGTATGCTGATTTTAAGTCCTTTGGGTATATGCCAAGGAATGGAATAACTGGGTCAAATGGTTGTTCTATTCCACATTTTTTGAAAAATCTCCATACTGCTTTCCCAGAGTGGTTGCATCCATCAATCTGAAGTCCCACCAGCAATTTATGAGTGTACCTTTCCCCCCACATCTTCAGCAACATTTATTGTTACTTGTATTCTTGATAATTGTCATTCTGACTAGAGTGAGATAAACTCCCAGTGTAGTTTAATTTTTCATTTCTCTAACCACTAGAAATGTTGAACATTTTTTTCATATATTTGCTGATAGATTTTAATTCTTCTGTGAAGTGTCTGTTCTGTTCCTTTGCCCATTTATTTATTGAGTTATGTTTTTTGGTGTTATGTTTTCTATGTTCTTTATATATCCTGGAGACAAGTAATGCTAGGAAAACTGGAAATCCATATGTAGCAAAACAAAATTAAACCTCTGTCTCTCACCCTACACAAAATTCAACTCAAAGTGGATCAAGGACCAAGTTAGTCAACCAGAGACCCCCACACCTAATAGACAAAAAGTAGGCCCTAATCTACATCATGTTGGCTTAG